CTTGCGCTTACAAGGCCGGTGCAGTGCCACTGAGCTGAATCACAGAGGAAGGTCGGGTCTTTTTACAACTTGTGTCCCTTTACCCGAGACTTCAGTCTTCCCTAAGGTCACGTTCTTCGTGTCCTCAGCCCTCTTCTTTTTGCAGAGTATTTCTGGACAATTTTACCTATTCCTCTGGAGACGACTCTTCTCCCATAAAATCTTTACGAGAATATTCAACTGTGCAATGGCGATGTGTCTCAGGTTCACCCCATTCGACACGCGCAGAGAAGACCTTACCTTTCCCCCAAACGTGTCGCTCAGCCAGTTCTTTATGAGCCGGCGCTCACAGAGCTTGCCTGAGCCAGGGTGGTCAAGGAGGCCCGTTCTCCCGGTCTCAGGAGCCTGCGGACGCGGCCTGGCTCCTCCCTGCTGCGCCTGGCTCCGCCTGCTCGGTCAGGGCCTCCCGGACTCCGGCCGCAGGTGCTGGAGGAGTCTTCCCGGCCCACCACCCTCTTCCTCCCCGGGAAGCAAGCACCTACTCTCTGGGATATGAGGCCTGTCACCCGGGGAGACCTCACCTCAGCCAAAGGCGCTCACCATGGCTCCTCTCCTACATGCAAAGCCAAATTTTCAAAACCAACCCCAAACTCTAAGTATTTTTGTGTCCTTTTACAGCAAGTAGATATACATAGTAAAATATCTCCCACGCCTGTGTGGCAGAAGGGGGGCATTGCTGATCGCACCAGATAAGTTGAGACCGGAGGAGAGGGGTTTTACTCTCCAGCAGCAAGCATGCTTCCAGCTCCGGGGGTGGCCGTGGAGCGTTACTACACCTGCCGAAAAGGGAGACCTCAGTCGGCTGTGAGAATTACTGAGACTGAGAAGGTGACGGCGGCTGCTGATAAATAAATACCTTCTCCTCTCCTGCCTCTGCAATATGTGTATTGAAACTGGCTTCCCTGGAAAGGCAGGCTCGGAAACAAAGTTCCTCCAAGAAACATCACTACCTTGTCCTCCTGTCTAGCTTTTCTTTCTTATCCACAATTGCTACAAAAACAAACAAAACAAAACAAAGCTTACAGTGTTACCCATCCTTGCTCTCTCCCAAGATATTAGAGAAACTTTAAAAATATATTTCTCAAGGTTTTCTAAGTTTGCTTGTATGCTTTTGACCCTTAAGTAACCCCAGGGATATGAAAGCTGAAAAGTTATTAACCAGTCGGCAGTTGCAAGGGTCAGGAGGCTGCGCTCCTCTCCGAGAGTCGTGGGAGGAGGATGATGTTTACCCATCCAGATCCACGGTTGCTACCGTGTTCTGTTCTACATCTACGATCCGAAAGGCGCCGGTGCTCTCCCGGCCCCTCACTGTGGTTCCCGCGTCAGGCCTCCTGCTCGTGCCTCCCGCCTTCCACAAAGAACTTGCCCCGCTTGGCCCCCAGCTCCTTGACGTCTGCTCCTTGAGTTAGCGCTGAACCCACCCCGCCAAACCCTCTGCTTTCCCTTTGAATCATAATACAGATGTCCGTGTTACGTTAATTTCTGACTATAGAGCATTGTTTTTCAAAGGATAAGACATTGATGAAGCACTTTGGGGGCTCCCAAGATAAAAAGACTCTATGCTTTCAACCCCTGGATGAAAAAGTTGAAAACTCTTATGTGTATATTCAATGACCATGTAATGGAACAAAATTGGAGGCATTGTATCATATTTTAAAAGAGTCAAATATTTAAATTATAAAATATCTGTTATAGAGTAGTAATTATTCAGTAGGTATTATATATCAACTTGTAGATTCAGGAATCCAATGCTCTCATTTAATTTCCTACTATTTTCAAGTATGGCAGAACATTACACATGCTTTAACTTATAAAAATCGCCAAGGCCAAGGATTTAGGTCAGTGGTGCCACTGTCTGTCTTGCAAGTGCAAGGACCAGAGTTCAATTTCCAGTAACAACAACAACAAAAATCTCCAAGCCAGACATAGTGGTGCATGCCTGTAATCCCAGCACTCGGGAGGCTGAGGCAGGAGGATTGCTGTGAGTCTGAGACCACGCTGGGCTACATAGTGAGTTCCAGAGCAGTATGAACTACATAGTGAGACCCTGTCTCAAAAAGGGGGGGGGTCTGGGAGAATTGTATTTGATCATGAAATTGACAGAACACTGGATACATATGTATTGAGAGGAAAGTTGTGGTTTGTTAATGAGCAGTACAACTAAAACCAGGTAAAGAGAAAACAGGATAACTCCTAACTCCAGGGAAAGCAACTAAATCAGAGAAAACAAGAGCTGGTATGGTTTATCTTCCTCTTCCAAAGTGAAAAGTAAAGAAGCAAAACCAAAATCTGAAAAATCGAGAAAGGAAATACGATATTTAGAGGTAGGAGATTCAATACCAATCATCTTGGTCCGTTTTTCATTCCTATAATGAAATACCTGATGTGGGCTACTTTGAAAAAAAAAAAAGTGATCTGCTTAGTACGTAGTTCCATGGTGCAAGGGCAAGGTGCTGGCATCATCTGGACAGACGTCACAGGGGCAGGAGTCCATGGGAGAAGCACCGGTCACCCCACTACATGGGAAGCCAGAAAGCATTTCAGGTCAGGCTGTCAGCAGTTCACTCCCAGCAGGGCTAACTCGGGGTCCCAGCAGCCTGCCTTAACCCCTCTTGAGGGTGCAGCCCCTAGGACGTAAGGATTCCCACTAGGCCCCACCTCTGAGGGTCCCACTACCTCTACACCATAAACGTAGGACCACGGTTCCTGTAACATGAACCCCGGGGGATAAACCACACTGAAACCACAGCTGGAGGTCCTCGCCTCTGAGGATGACGATGTGCCAGGAAAGGGGCCCGGAGGCTGGGGTTTCTGTAGTGAGTCTTGTAGAACTATTTGACTTTTAAACTACACCTAACAAGACTTTATTAAAAATTAAAACTGGAGCCGGGAATTTAGCTCAGTGGTTGCACCACCTGCCTCACAAGCACAAGGTCCTGAGTTAGAACCCCGGTACCAAATAAATAAATAAAACTAAAAGAGTGGATCAAAAAAGGAAACCTGGAGACAGCCAGACAGAACACTCCTTGTGACTTGGAGGAGCTGAGGGTGCTGGGCAATAGGACAGAGTCAGGGTTGATGTTCTCATTTTATGGGAGAAATGGCGGATTCGTTTTCTGTAGAAGGGGCCCAGGGCAGAGGGAGAGGTTGAGAATATCAAAGAGGTGGAAAGGTTGAACATCTATTCGACAAGAGAATGAAGGGAGTAGACTCATGAAAAGAAGGGAACAGCTTTTCCCCTAAATGAAGGACTCTTTACCTTGAGGCTGGAAGGGAAAATGTGTGAACACAAGGGCAGACACATAATCTAAAGGATTGAAGTTGTTCCCAGAGGTCCCAGTGACTTCTGTATGATATTTGAATAGCGAAGAAAGCACACTTGTTTTGGTCAAAGAAAAACACTTTACATGACTTTATTAAGCCTTAGGACAGAGATGAGAGACACCTTTGTCATAGTACAGGAACTTAAATTTCAAACAAAAGATCAGTGGGTATCAAGGCGTGCCACCCATGTGGTACTTGACACAAACTGCTTCACATGGTTGTTTATAGTTATAGCGTATAAGAGACGTTATCAAAAACCCCAGCTGTGGGTCTCGATCTTCTGTGAGCGGGTATGACATCCACAAGTAGGAAAGAGGGAAACAAACACAGAGACAGAGACTTGAGAGAAACCAGGTCTTGGGCAGCAAAGACTATTTATTGCAAGGGTGGGGAGAGAGGAAGCTGGGGGGGCCTTGGACACCTGCTGGTAGCAAGTATCCTGCTCAGGACTGTAGAATGCCCACACTAGCGTATCTTTGCTGAACAGAACAAACGGTTAATACAGGGGGGAAGAATTTAGTTGGAGCCAGTTGGCTTCCCCTGGAAATGAACTCAGCCAAGCCCTGCTACTTCCAGGGTACACAGCTGCACTATGGGGTGGGGTGGTAAGAAGCTTGTGCCCCTATAGTCTGCTGACACTGGGCAGAGATGCCCCTACAACAGTCTTTTTACTTTTGTTCTGCTAAAATCATCCAGGCCCCACATTTAAAGAGCGCTCAGGTGGATCTTAGACCTCCTCTCTTGCTAGATACCTTGCAGATCTGTTCTGCTCTCCTCTTGCCTAGTCTGACTGTCCCCACTGAGGAGGGAGGAAGTGGCCATCTGATCCATGTCTTGGACTTCTGTTTGTCGTGCACAGGGCTCCAGGCGAAGTAGAAAAATGAGAGGACATTGTTAGATGATAACTGGACGTCAGTGGCCTTATCATCCAGACAGAAGTGGGATCCCATGAACCTTCCTCTCCCTGTGCCCTTCTGAACTACTGTTGGTGGAGGGAGTTGCAGTGAATGACCCATTGCATGACCTTCAGGATGAATCTGAATTCAGGAGGCAGATTTCATGGAATCCTTGGGAAATGGCCCACTGACAGAGTAACACACAAGAAGCCGTAGAGTGAGACACAGCAGGACTGGCCTGAGGAGGCTGCCCAGTGTGGTCACCTCTGTGGTCCTCACAGAGCCCACTTCAGGTTGAGCGCCCCTCTCACCTGGGAGAACTGGCCAAGATCTGGTTAAAAGGACACAGTGCAGACAGCACAAGAATTTAAAGCTCTTAGTCAAGGCTCTGGGTAAAGTAAGAATATGAGTGTGTGTTTGTGCGCATGAGTGTGTGTTTGTGCGCATGAGTGTGTGTGTGTGTGTGTGTGTGTGTGTGTGTGTGTGTGCGCGCGCGCAAGGAGGTAGGTGTGTTGGGGTGAGAAGGTTGAGCTGCTTGTGACCCCACAGATCCTACCAGAAGCCCTGCAGCCACAGAGGGGGCACCTACAGGACAGAGGTTGATGCCACTCAAATCAGCGGGGCGGGGAGAAACTTAGTGGACTGTGTGCTTCTGAGACCAAGGCTGTCAGAACCCAGGACTCCGGAAGGCCCCTCCCACATTGTCTCTCTTAGAAGAGTCATTACCTAAAGTAGCAGAAGCCATGGGAACAGTTACTCAAGCTCGTGATTCCCGGATCCTACGTGGGTGCCCAGCTTCCCCCGGACCTCACTCCTCAGCCTACCTCTGCTCTCCTACTCCCGTCCACGGCTCACCCAAGTCACCCTTCCTGCCCCACAGAGTCTCCGATCTTCCACCCCCAGCCCGCTCTGGGCGGTCCGGGCTCCCGGGGCCTCTGCAGCTGGGGGCACCGGACACGCATGCGCCCGTGATGATGAGGACGGTGCCCACCACGAAGCCCAGCAGGCCGATGGCCAGGCCCAGGGCGAAGACCAGGGTCTCTGTGGTGCCGGGCAGCGCGGCAGGCAGCGGGGGCTCTGGGAGAGAAAGGCGGGGTCAAGGGCCCGGAAGGGATTCGGGAGTGGAGGGGCGGGCTGCGCGTGTGGCCGCGAGGGGGCGACGCTCCGTACCCCAGTGCGTGAGCAGCGGCTGCTCCAGGCCCCAGTGCTCCACCCTGCAGTCGTAGACGTCGGCCGCCGTGGGCACAAAGGTCAGGTAGTGGAACTTTCGGAACGAGTGGTCGGGCTGGGGATAGAAACTGGTCTGGAAGACGCCCTCGGTGACGAGTCGGCCGTTGCGCAGCCAGGTGACACTGATCACAGGGGGGAAGATGTTGTCCACGATGCAGATGAGAACGTTGGGTTTGCCCAGCTCCACTCGAGCCTTGGGGAGCACGGTGACCCTGGGAGGCACTGAAAGGAGCGGGGTCTGAGTCCCCACGCTCCTGCCTTAGGGCTGGGCCGGGATCCAGGGAGGCTTCCTCCCCTTCAGCCGTCTGCCGGCAGGGGGCGCTGCTGGGGCAGGACAGGCAGGGAAAGGGCGGCGTCTGGGGCGGAAGCGGGCTGCATCCCACCCCTGGGTGGGCGGGGGGAAGCACCGGGATGCTGAGGGTCTAGAAAGCCCGGAGACTGGAGAAAGGGGGCCGAGAGAGCGTGTGCCGGGGGCACGAGACTTCCCGGGCTCCCCTGCCGGCTGGCGGGGCGCGGGGTCAGTACCGGGGGTGGCTCCGGTGCCGTTGGAGCGCTCCACCAGCACACCCAGGTGGGCCCTGATCATGGCGATGCTGACCAGCCCGGTCTGCAGGTCAAAGTGTGCGACGTCGCCGAGCTCAGGCAGACGCCACGCGACCTCCCTGGTCTTCAGGTCCACGGAGAACAGCTGCTCCCCGTCGAAGTCGTGGGTGAACTGGCCCGAGGCATCGTAAGACTGGTAGAAGGCTGGTCCGTAGGAGCCCATGTGGTCCGCTGCACGGGGAGGGCGGAGGAGCGAGGAGAGGAGGTTTCGGCTCGGCCTGGGCCCCACCTGGGCTGCGTGGGGACGGTGCCCTGACCGCGCGGACGAGAGGTCGGGCTTCCCGAAGTTAGGGGTTGGGCCTCGGCTCTGGTGAGACGCCTTTGGAATGGCTGCAGCACTTGTTCAACGTGGAGGGACTGCTGCGTGCCCAGGACGACGCCAGGAAGTACAAGAAACGGAAGACGAGGAAATGAGAGAAAGAGGAGCCGGCTGCGGACCCCACGCGGGAGTGGGGAGGAAACTGACCTTGAAAAAAGCGCAAAGGAGACACCAGCATGTCTGGACTGCGCCGCACCTGTGTGCAGGCCCGGAATGGATGAGACGGGTTTGGGGTGTCAGGGGCGGAAGCTGACCATAAACCAGAGAAAGGGGGTTCTCCCTCTGCTGGGCCTCCGTCTCCCGTCCTCCCCCAGCGGCCCTGAGCACTCACCTTTGATGGCCCCTGCTCTGTGGGGGCTCAGGAGAGTCATCAAGGCGTGGAGGCCCAGGACCAGCCCCGCGGGGACGGCCATCGGCCTTTGGGGCTCTAACCAAGAAAGTCTCAGTCTGTGTGGGGAGCAAAGGAAGAAAACGGGTACAGAAGAAACAGATTCTGGGTTAGGGAGAGCCCCTTGCTAAATGCAGCCAATCACAGCAGGTCTCTGAGTTGACGTAGCTGTTGCTGGGTAAAGAAGAGAAGAGCCCGGCTGGGAAGGTGCAGGAACTCCCAGCGTCCTGTGCTCTAGGCCGGATACCCAGGGGAGTTGGGAGGAAGTCGCTGCTTCCGGGGTGAGTGTCCTGGGCTCAGCCTCACGGCCTCCTCGCAGAAGGGGCCTTCATCCGACCCATCACGTAGGGAATCCTACTTTCCCTGTACATTTCTGCAGAGGAATTCGTAGTTTAAAAAACTGAAATTATTCAGAAACTTCGAAAAGGAAGTATCGGACCTATGGTGCAGTGAAACACCCTTTAAGATTCATTTTCAAAAATATTACTTCGTTATAAAAGAATGAACGCAGAACTGTGGAGATGCTTAGTCCGAAGAAGAGCTGCCCGGACAGATGTGAAGAGGGACAAGGGGCCTGGTGACATGTTTGTCCCTCCTGGTCCCTGCACACCGGCTCCATGCTGGCCCGAGGCTGGCCCTGAGGGCTGCAGCCCTTTTGAGTTGGTTTCCGCCAGTGGGAGGTGGTGGAAGAGTTTAGAGAAGTACGTAAAATACACAGCTGTCTATCCGGGTAAAGAGAAGTCCAGTCAAATCTCCCGAGGCCATTTGCCAAAAATCCTGAAGTAAGTGACTCTCACCCTGGAAGGGATCTGAGAAATCACTGGGATCCCTGGTCCTGAACTTGGCTACACAAAGGATTACCTGAGGGACTTATGAAAGTATCAATTCTTGTCCATTAATGGATCCATGGAAAAAGAAAATGTGGCATATGCACGATGGAATATTATTCAGCCGTGAAAAGGATGAAATCCTGTCATTGAAGGTAACAAGGATGGGCATATTTCGTATACATGTATTGAAACATCACACCATTCCCCATACATAAGTACAAGTACTACTGATAAAAGATAAAGCTTACATTCATATTATAATTCAATTTATTCACAATTCATAAAATGCAGATTCCTGGGCCCCATCCTCATCTGGTGAGATCAGTGCCTCCCCGGGAAAGGCAGGGGTCTGTGTTCTCAGCCGCCCCCTGCGTGGCTCCTGGGCAGCCGGCGGCCTGCCTTCTGGTGTCACTTCTGGGTGCTGTTTCCTCAGGGGATAAGGGCTTTCTGCTTGAGAGGAGAGGAGCAGCCCCCAAGTACAGTTAGTCACAGGTCTGGGTGGCACGGTTGTGCGTTGCCTAACTCGAGCTCCTATGTCCGTTCCCCGGTGCCTAAGGAAGAATGAACAGGTCTCTTCACTGCTGCAGTCCTGCCTGTGTCAGGTGCCTCCTAACTGTGTCTCTTCTCAAGGTGGGAAGAGCTGGAGTCCTGGGATGCGAAAAAAGAAGGTCACCCAAACTGTGGAATTCTTCTTTTTTTAAACCATTGGGTGTTCTGTGTTTTTATTTCAAAGTACATGGAGATTTTCATAAAATATTTTTTGTTATTAATTTAAAATGTAGCCACCAATGGAGTCCTACTCTGCCATAAAGAAGGATGCGCTTCAGACCTTTATAGCTAACGTGAATGGACCTTGAGACCACACTCACGTGATAGAAATTGTACACACATTTAAATACCGCGTTGTTTCTCCGGTGTGAGAAATAAGGATTTAGATATATAATGGATGTTAGGAAACGGGAAGAAAGTTTTCAAATGGGAAGGGGGCCAAGGGAGGAGGGCAGGAGGAAGAAGGGGACAAGGAAAAATGAAATTAGGAAAAATAGAAACAAAGCTTTGTGCAAGGGGAAGGCAGGGGGCTTGAGGGAAAGAATCGGATAAAATAAAATTTATTAATTTTTGAAAACCACATGATAATATAAGAAGTTCAGATTGTGGAGCATCTTTTTTGGTTGTTTTTTATTTTTTGTCTTTTGAGACAGAGTCTCTCTGTGGTTGAGACTGACCTGGAACTCACCATGTAGCCCAGGCTGGTATCAAACTCACAGCGATCCTCCTGCCTCAGCCTCCCAAGAGCTGGGATGACAGGTGTGCGCCACCACGCCCAGTTTGTGGGGCATCTTCTTTAAAGGTTATTGAGCCTTGCTTCACGTGTGCTCCGACAGATGGGATGTGTGCTTATTAGGTCGCACGTGTGGATTTTGTTTCATTTTTTGTATTTATAATCTACTGTATCTTTCCTTGTTTTTGATTGATTTATAAATAAGAATGATGAATTTAAATTTCTAGCTTTGCAATCTGTTTCTATTTGCCAAATCTATTTTACTTCTATACATTTAGGATATTAGATGTGCTTATTTTTTGGATGGTCTCAAACACAGCGATCCTCCTGCCTCAGCCTCCCAAGAGCTGGGATGACAGGTGTGCGCCACCACGCCCAGTTTGTGGGGCATCTTCTTTAAAGGTTATTGAGCCTTGCTTCACGTGTGCTCCGACAGATGGGATGTGTGCTTATTAGGTCGCACGTGTGGATTTTGTTTCATTTTTTGTATTTATAATCTACTGTATCTTTCCTTGTTTTTGATTGATTTATAAATAAGAATGATGAATTTAAATTTCTAGCTTTGCAATCTGTTTCTATTTGCCAAATCTATTTTACTTCTATACATTTAGGATATTAGATGTGCTTATTTTTTGGACTTAACATTCTTGTTGAATTGACTCTTTTCCCAATTTGTCCTACAGTCTTCCTGACTTAAAATCTGGCTTGGGTTAGTTTTTGTTTGGTTTTGGTTTTTAGAGACAAAGTCTCACTATGTAGCCCAGGCTGGCCTTGAACTCACAGCAATCCTCCTGCCTCAGCCTTCTGAGTGCTGGGATCACAGGCATGCGCCACCACACCACCATCCTTGGCTTCCAAAAAAAATTTTTGTTTGTTTGTTTGTGTTTGCTTTTATTTTTGGTACCGGGGATTGAACTCAAGTCCTTGTACTTGGGAGGCCGGTGGCAGAACCACTGAGCTAAATCCCCAGCCCTCCAAAAATATCTTAAATGTGATCATTTGTATAGAAAAACTTCTGCAGCCTTATTATGCTTGAGAATATTTTTATTATACTATCATTTAAAAACTTTCTGACTCAATAATGAGGCATACATACTGGGTACAGTGTGATAATTGCAGGCATGTATCCGGTGCAGAACGATAAGACCAGGTTATACCATCACTACCATCACTTCAATAAAGTTTAGTCGTGTGTTACATTCTAAGTTTCCCTTAAATATGTTAAAGAACATGAGCCCAGTGTTATCAGGAAATCTGATGTCTGTCTTCCATGCAGGAATGTTTCGGGATCTTCTCGTTGCCTTTGACACCTAAAAATGTTATAATGTATAGAAAGTGGGTTTTTCTTTTTCCCTCTGTAGGATAGATCTTCCCTATCTTTTAACGATTGAGCTTTCTTCATTCTTTAACTATTTTCTCTTTCTTATTTTGTGCTCACATTCCCGACATTGGGTTTGACTAGTCACCTCTCTTGTCTTTGTGTCCATTTCTTTATTCTTTCACCTTTGATTCTGGGGCAGTCTTTCATTGTAGTCGTCCACCCTACTAATTTGCTTTTCCGTTTATCTCTTGTGCTGTATATCCCATTACTGTGGCTTTTCTTTTGGCTATTCTGTTTTTTCACACCTAGAACTTCCAAATGGTTTCGCCTATATTTCCTTTTTTTAAAAAAATTCATGATTCCTCTTATTTTCTGTTATTTTAAGTGGCTGGTCCGTAGTTTCTAATGCTGTTTTGTTTTGTTTCAGTACTGGGGATCGAACTCGGGTCCTTAGCGCTTGTGAGGCAGCCGCCGCACTGAGCTAAATCCCCGGCCTCCAGTGCTCTTTTGAAGGACACACATGGTCCCGTTTGGTGGCTTTCTCCTGAGGCAGCGGCACTTCCTGTGAGTCACTGTTTGGGGCCGTGGGGACCTATCTGTGCCAGTATCCTGCGTGCAGAAGAAGGGCCAGCTGGAGACCTGGGTCCGCACAAACCACGATCGTTGCCTTTGGAGGCCCTCACCAAGCGACACTCTGGCGCAGTGCTCTGGGTGGGGAGCGCCGGGAAGGGCTGTCAGCCTTGGCTCGGGCCCCTGGTCCTGCAGCTGGTGGCCGGGTCCCATCTCCTCCCACTCCAGCAGGGGTCTCAGCCGTGACTCTCTCCCTAACCCTCAGTTAGCCGAACAGACCATCAAAATCTTGTCACTGCCCTTTGGAGCACAGAGCAGGCCGTGCTTCCGGGCCGGTCCTGGGAGAGGCCAGCGCAGGACAAGCCTCACACACCGCAGCCCCCGGCCGGCCGCCTCCCCAGGGTCCCCCGTTTGCTCACCGCCGCGTCTCCCAGGTCTTTCCACCCGGACGCACATCTCCCCAGTGTCCCTGGTCGTACGTGTGTGACAACAAATAAAAGTAAGTTAAATGAACTCTGTGGGGAGAGATTTTCCAATACTGGGGCAAACACAGGCTCAACACACAGCAAACCAGACTGGGGTGTCCACTTTCTGAAATGACAAATCCAGTTACTTGAATTGTCTGAATGTTGGTTTTGAGGTGGAGTTGTGTCTATCGTGTTCTCTGAGCGCGGCAAGTCGCAGTAACGTCGGGCGATGTTATTACGGATGCGTGGAGCGCCTGCTATGCCCGGGGTCCTGGGCAACGCAGGCGGGCGGGCATCCGCAACACAGCCGGTCCGAGAAGAGGTTCTAGGAGCACAAAACACTGGTATTGGAAGGCGTGGGTGGGTGTGAAATCTCATCGAGAACTGGTGTATTGATGGACATTTTTGATGTATTTTGTTTACAATATGCATTATTAAATTAATTTCTTCAGCTAGAAACTTCGAAGCAGGGTGCGCGTTGGCTCCCACCGTCTTTACCTGGACCCGGCCCCTGCAGATCCTTCTGTTTGCCGCAGTCTTTGGGCCCTTTCCTGGTACTACCTGGAGATTCCACTAGAGGGCAGTCTTACCATTCAATATTTCGATTCACTACCTTGGATCCAATTATTTTGCATATTTATCTACTTTCAATCTATTTTGCTTCAAGGATCGTGTTAGGCTCTGAGACTGATACAAAGAACTTTTGTAAAGAATCTAAAAACCTA